CGTGGTCGTGCCAGGCGCCTCCAGCCGATGACTGCCGCTGCTCGCAACCCCACCCCTCAGTCCTCGCGGGTTGCTGCTGATAGGCCTACACCGTCTCTCCGCCGAACGAGCCCCTGAAGCAGGTCTTCTACATGCGGCAGGACGCGAGCGTCCAGTGCGGCACCGAGGCTCACGGGCCCATCAAGAACCTCGCCATCGGCTCCATCGTCCTCTGGCCCGTCGGCTCGCTGGTCCTCTTCACGTCGCTCCTCGCCGCCTGCCACACGCCGCTGCAGGCCAAGACGCCGACGGCGCTGACGCGAGCGACCGCCTTCCTTCATCGAGAGTACAAAACGACCTGGTACTGGTGGGAGGCGGTCGAACTGGCGCGCAAGCTCGTGCTGACGGGCTTCGTGCTGCTGATCCCGGAGAAGAACGCCTTGCTTCGGCTCGTGGTGGCAACCCTCATCTGTTCCTGCTACGTCGCGCTCGTCGCCGCCACCAAACCGTACAAGCGTGTCGAGGACTCTGTCCTCGCCGTCGCGATGAGCCTCATCCTCCTCATCGTCTTCCTCGGCGCCAATTGGACGACCATTTTCCTCCGCATCGAGGAGCGCTCCGGAACCGATGACGCGGCCGCCGTATTCGGCTTCAGCAAGCTTAATCCGATCGTCAGCACGATGATCGGCCTCGCCGCCCTCGCGCTCTTGATCTCCCTCGCCGGCGCCATCGTCGCCGCCCGTTACTTCGCCAAGGTCCCAACGATCCGCCTTGTCTCCACCAAGCAGCCGCCCGAACTCACCCTCGTGCGGTCGAACACTCGTGCCTCTACGGATGATGCCGGCGCTGGCGTCCCCTTCGGGTGCATCGTGACATCTGACAACTGGATTTCCACTGGTTCGTCCTCCTCGGAGTCATCTTCCCCGGCTTCCTTCCGCTCGGCTCTTCGCTCGGTACGTCCGGTGTGGCTCACCCTCCATGCCGTGAACAGGCGCTTTATCCACCCTATATTCTTCTCTCGTTCCTCTGCCCTTGCCTTGGTCTTATCGTTGTTTCGCACCCATGTCTGTATGGCAATCGAGGCTGCCTTCCCCACTACCTGTAGTTCACTCGTCACCTCTCCCGCGAGCTCCCCTCTCTTTCTTTCGGGTATGGAGTCCGTGAGTGCGGGTAGCGTGCAGGCAATCACGGGCGCTATTTTGTCGTACTCCTCTTCGGCGAGCGCTCCAAATCTAGACCCTATTGCCTTTAAGGAGAACGCACCCTGAAAAGAAAGAAAACAGACAACCCAAGGGAGGGATGGGAGGAAGGAGGCGAAGGACGGCACGCCGCCACCACACAGGGATTTTAAGGAGAGGTGTTAGAACACACCCAAAAGAAAGAAAGAAAACAGACAACCCAAGGGAGGGATGGGTAGAACGCACACCAGGAGCGCTATGGCGCGAAAGGGTTAAAAACATGCCCGCGGATTTTTTTTCTCTGCTTCGCGCCATCGTCGAACGATAGGTGATGCGGGAGCGGGATGAGGCCATCGAAGCGAATAGGTCGTGCGGCAGGAACAGAGCTGGGCGGCAGGCAGACGGACAGAGACTGGTGGAGCCGAGGCACGGAGTCCCTCTGGTGCGGAGCAGCCAATCTGCGAAGAGACGCGACGCTGCCCTGGGCAGCAATGCCGGCAGGGGCGTCAAGGTGTGCGGCACGCCCGGGTGCAGCCTGCGCGACTGGCACCACGGGCCGTGCGAGCCGCTGCGCGATCTGTGCGGGCAACGCAGCCGGGCGCCTTCGCGCAAGGCAAGGTGCGCCTTCGTGCAGCTGGATGGTGAGGAGGACGAGTCGCAGGCGGGCAGCCGAGAGAAGCCGCGGGCGGGCAGCCGAGAGAAGCGGAGGCGCCCCAGTTCAGGCGGCCGCTCGGGTGAGGCAGAGGCGGCGACGCCCCACGAGGGCGAGGAGGGGCCCGCGGGCGAGGAGCCGCTGTGGGTGCAGTGCGACCGGTGCGCCAAGTGGCGGCTTCTGCTCCGCGGCGAGACCGTCGAGGAGGGGGGCGCCGCTTGGTTTTGTGCGATGAACGCCGACGAGCGCGCGAACAGCTGCGACGCGCCGCAGGTGTGAGACAAGCGTCCTCGCGCGGGGGCACGCACGCGCAGCACACACTAGGGCGGGGGGACCACAGCATACCCCACACGCCGCGGGGTCGGCAAGAACATGGCCAGACGCCGAAGGACTACGGCTGGCACCCGCCCGCTTTAGGTGTCCGCTTGCCAGGACGTCTGCGCCGCCATCTCGCGCGACATGTACTACGTCGAAGAGATTGTCGACCAGCGCGCCTCGAAGAGGCGGGCAGGCGGGTGGGAGTTCCGCGTCCGCTGGCTCGGCTGGGCGCCGGAGCACGACACGTGGGAGCCCGAGGCCGAGCGCCGTCCAGATGCTGCACACACACGATCACGGAGCGATCTGCGGGCCTGTGTACCGACGCCGTTCAGCCGGGGCGCACACCTCGGACTGCCGCTGGGCCAGCTCTTCCACCAGGGTCGTCGTCGTGCGCCCTGCTCCTCTTCGACCGCCCCCGCTGTGTGACCCCGCGAGACGACTCCTTGCTTGTGCCCACCAGCATCGGACACGTCCGTGGCTCGTCCAGGACACGTCCGCGACACGTCCACAGGCCAACATCGCCGACCGCTCGCTCATCGTCGACTTCCACCAGCGGCGGGTGACGTCGACGACGGACATCATGGCGGCGACGTGGGCGTTTGTCGCAGAGTGCCCAAGCATCGGCGGGCGCGGCCTCTTTGCGCGGGCGCCGCTGGTGGCCGGCCAGGCGCGCTGTACAATTATTCATCGGGCGAGGGACTTCAGCACACTCCACGCGGCGGGGGGCTAGCACGCGATCAGGGAGTGCGGCGGCGTGGCCCGTCCGAGACCCGTCCAAGACACGTCCACGACGCGTGTTTGACGCGTCCACAAGGCGATCTGTGAGTACGGCGGGCCGCGGCTGCCGCTGCCGCTGCAGACGCGCGACGGCAAGTACGTGCTGCAGCTGCCTCGGACGCGCGTGTTCGTCGACGGCAGCACAGATAGATGGAGAGGCGACGCAACCAGTCAGGCCACGACTCGAGACGCGCGTTCAGCGTACACACTGGAGCGACGCGTCGGACACACAGCCACGGGCACTCGCTACCCTTCCCAGGCAACTGCGACAACGTGCCGGGCGAGTACAGCCTGCCGCGGCACGCGGCGATCTTCGCCAACCACTCGGCGACGCCGAACGCTCGGGGCACTGGCCAGCACCTGGAACCTTCTCGCAGCCTTGTCGGAGCCTTCCCCTAGGCGACGCCGAACGCTCGGCTGGAGTGCTGGCCAGTACGCGCCGCCTAGATGCGGAGTAGACAGGACCTTCTCTCTCTCTCTCTCTCTCTCTCTCTCTCTCTTGACACGTCCATGACACGTCCATGACACGTGCATCACGCAGGACCTTCTCGCGACCGGCGCGCGAGAGTACGAGCTGAGCGGCTCAATGTCGTAGATGCTGAACCAAGACCCCGCGCCTTCCGCCAGCCCGTACCCGCGTGAATCTGGGGATGTGGCTGTGCGAGGTGAGAAGGCTGCGATAGGATTGTGTTCGATCACGCACGCCCCCTTTCAACGTAGGCTCGATGTGGCTCGTGGCGAGCGAGCCCATCGCCGCGGGGCAGGAGAGGCCACTTCCGAGACACCTCCGAGACACCTCCGAGACACGTCCCTCCTGGCCGCCCTCCCCTCCCCACGTTCTCGACCGACATGTCCACGACACGCCCACGACACGCCCACGACACGCCCACGACACGCCCACGACACGCCCACGACACGTCCTCGACACGCCCCCACGACACGTCCACGACACGTCCACGGCAGGAGATCCGCTTCGACTACGAGGCGGGGTCGCAGGACAGAGAGTACTGGCAGCCGGACGCCGTCCGCCCCCTGGAGGGCGATTGGCGAGGCGCTCTAAGGCCAGAGACCCTACCCCCACCGGCACTCGAGAGGACATGCACTAAGCTATAGTCAGCTGACCCCTGTCCATGGCGTTATATGCCGATCTCCAGTCGGGTATCCGCCCGTCGCCCACAACGACAAGAACACACACGCTGAGACGATAGTTGACAGATCAATACCTCAGCGGCAGCCGCGTGTGCTCACGACGCAGGCTCTCGCATGCCCCGGGTGGGCCCCCCCGTCCCCGCCGACGCGGCGCCGGCGCTCGACGTGCTCGATGCGATCCGACGGGCGCGGCGGACGCGGGCGAGCGGGACGACCTCCATGAGCCCTCTCGGAGCCTTCTCGGAACCGTCGCGTAGGCGGCGGACGTCTCGCGCGTCCAGCGCCGGTACTTTGTGGCGCCGCCCGCTCTGACGCGGGCAGTCTCGTGCGTGCACCTCGCGCCGGTGACGCGGCTGCCGGCAGCGCAGGCCGACCGACGCCTCCGCGAGCTCGCGCCGCTGCTGGCGCGGTCCGACAACAAGAAGACGTGGGGCTTGCTCGCCAGCCATCTGCCGGGCTGGACAGGGAGCGAGTGCCACATGCGCTGGATCGCAATGGGCAAGAGCAAAGCGGAGAGGCCGCGCTTGCAGGACGACCAGCCGCCGGCGGCGGACGCTGGCAGCCGGCGGCAGGACAAAATGTGCGGCACCATCCTGCGCACCATGCAATGATGTCTGGCGAGGTGAGGTGAGAAAGCACATGGCGGCACAGTAGCCCGAGGACGGGAGGGGGGCGGGCCTCACCCGGGGCTCACCCGGGGCTCACCCGGGCCTCACCCGGGGCTCACCGGGGCCCGGCCGTCCCCGCCCCCTCCCTCTGAGCTCGCCAGCGCAAGCCCTATGTGTCCTGGTAGCCCACAGCCAGGAGCCACCACCTACCGTTCGGCTTCACTCCGGCAAGTCCTCCGGTTTGGGTCGGTTTGCCGATTAAATCATTACACATTAGGGCGATTAGGCCGATTTAGGGACATGTGTGCCGGGCGCGGTTTTGCTTTCATTCTTTTATTTTTATATGTACTCCCGATCAAATCCCGAGACCCTCGGGTCCCCCGCCCCCCCCTCGCTGCGATAGCGCCGCAACCGCTTCTGCAGCTCGCTCTCGCCGCCGCCGCCGCCGCCGCCCTCCGCCGCGCCCCTAAGGCGGAGGTTCCTCAGCCGGCTCAGGTTGCGCTGCTTCGCCGCGTTATCGTCGCCCCCCACCTGGATCTCGACGGGGGAGAGCGACTTGACGTGCCTGCACGCGAGCCTGGAGCACGAGTAGTTTTCGCCGACGAGGTACCCGCAGTCGGCCTGCCCCAGCTGCGTGTTTTGCATCTCGTGCGCCGCGAGCAGCCGCACGCTGCCCCGGTGGCTGGGATGGTCCGCGAGGAAGGCGAAGACCGCCCTTTCGAGGGCGCCGTTGCCCGTGTGCGTGGCCACCGACACCAGCTCGCCGCCCTGCGGCGGCAGCTTCCGGTCGTAGATCTGGTCGAGGTAGTACAGCCACAGCGGGTGCCGGGCGGCGCCGCCCATCAGATTGTTGCCCGACGCCATGGCGGGCGGCGAGGCGCACCCCGGCGCGCACGCGCGCTGGTCGTGCAGCTTCAAGCACTTTAGGCCCTTTTGGTGCGAGTTCGCCGCTTTCCAGGGCGCCCGGAGGAGGAGGGCGGTGGTCGGCCGGTCCGCGAGCAGCGGGTCGAAGGGCCGCGCGCACTCGACATCCACGTCGAGGTAGATGCCTCCGTACACGTGGAGGATGAGCGGGCGGATGGCGTCGAAGCGCTTCATCTTGGGCGTGAGATCCCTCCACGCGCGCAGCCGGTCGGGCATCGCGCTCCTCATCAGCCGCTCGCAGTCCTCGTCGGTCCACACGCGCAGCTCCCAGCCCGGGTTGAGCTGGCGCAGCCGGCCGACGTGGCGTAACGCCTCCTCGGTCTCGGCGGCGTGGCCCGCAAACATAAAGTCGCGCGTCGGCCAGAGGAGGTGCAGCACGCGAGGGAAGGGTCCTCGGCACGGCGTCGCAGGCGTGCACTCGTGCGTGGCCGACCACGGGAGGGGACAGCTCCTGGCGGGCCCGGCCGCCTTCTTCCGGCCAGCCGCCGTCTCCGCCGTGCTGGCTGCGCACCGCGCCGCCCAAGCCTTGAGCGAGGGGAGGGACGCCAGAACGCTCTGCTGGCGCTGCTCGTCCGAGCGCCCTAGCTGGTCCAGCACGTACGCGCTCTCGGCGGCGTTAAGCTCGCTTCCGTGCGAGGCCGACGTCATCAGCTTGATCCACTTTGGCGTTGCGGCGCTGGAGATGGCGGTGGCGACGAGCGCGTCGCGCACGCTCGCCCTCGACAGCTGCATAAGGCAGGCGAGGCCGGCGGCGTCGAGCGGCGGCGCAGAGAAGTTGGCGACGGCAATGCGCACCGGCGTGGCTGGCGCGCGAGACATGCGCAGCAGCAGCGCGAGCTCGTTCTCCAGAATCGCACGCTGGTCGCGCATCAAGCGCGTCATGCCGGCGATGTTGTCGAAGGCCTTCAGGGCGCCTCGCCTCATGTGGCGGTGCTTGGTGAAGGATATTACAGACTCGATCGGAGATCGCTCGAGCACGAGGAAGGCGGGCTCGAGACCGATGCCGGGCGCGAGGGCGGCCGACGCCATCTGCACGGCGCGTGCGAGGGCGACTAATTTGGGCCAGCGGCCGGGGCCGTATCGCTCGTCCAGACTCTTCTTGCCACCGCAGTGAAAGGAGCACGTCCACACGCCCAGCCCGGTGGCGGACGGACTCGAGCGCACAGTCTCTGCCAGCGCGACGGCCAACTGGCGAACAAGGGCAGCCTCTGGCTCGAGCGAGTTCGGCTCCGGCGTGGTGATGCGCTCGACCAGGTCGCTGAGGTCCTTCATCGCGGCCGAGCTGTTGGGCCTGCATGCGAGGCGTTGGTCGCAGGCCACCTCGTTGAGAGCCAGCGCGGCCAGCTGAGCCCAAAAGGCGTAGTACCAGTGGTGGCCCGTGCCCTCGAGACCGACGACGAACGAGACCACCAGCCGCCGCGCAGGCGCACTCACGGGCCCGGGCGCCGGCTTGGAAGCGGTCGCTGCAAGCGCCCCAAGCGCGAGGGCGCCCAGTGCGCCCGCGAGGCCCGCCTGGGGCATGTTTGTGGAGGAGCGCAAATGACCAAAAACCAAGATTGTGTAACGCGAGCTGTGCCACTGTGAACAACCTCTCACAGGCCAGCGCACAGCGCCATAGGAGTATTTTCTTCTCAACAACAAGGCTGTGAAATGGAACTACTCTTAATACTGAGGTGCATATTATCTTAAAACTCACCACACAGATCTACTCTTAATACTGAGGTGCATATTATCTTAAAGGCCAAGGTAGGCCGCCTATTGAAATCGCCCGAAGCGCTAGCGCTTCGCTAGCGCAAGCTCGCACGGCCTCTCACGCTCCGCTGCTGCCCTCTTGGCGGCTCTCCGCCCGCCAGCTCGACCAACTCGACCGCCGAGAGGCTGGGATTGGCCGGCGGCGCGACGCGTGGCCTCTGCTGCGGCCATCTCGGACGCTCAAGCGGCGCCAGCCAGCGGCTCGGCCGCGCATCCTTCACACACGCCGCCACGACCAAGCTGAGCGGGCCCGGTGTCGAGTCATGGTGCGAGATGCATGTCAGGGGCGGCTGTGGCCACAGCAGGTCCACCAGACGGGCGTCAAAGCTTGCCGTCGGCGTGCTGTCGTGGCGAGAGCCGAGACCGCTGCAGAGGAGCCGAGTGCAGTGGCGAGCCAGAGGCTACCAGGGTCACCAGGTGGTAGCCCTTGCCCATTCTGAGCAGGGATGTGCTTTGATGGGGTTGTGCTTGAGCGTGTGTGAAGTGGGAGTGCGTGCCGGCGGTGTCTGTGGCTGAAACGGGCGTGTGTGAGGCTGCAGAGCCGTGGTATGAGCCAGAGTGAGCTTCATCACCCAAGATAAGTGCGGTTTGGGACGGCTCAGACTTGCTGCTGATGGGCCTGGGCCAGGAGAGCGACAGAGAAGGCGAGGTGGTGAGCTGGGAAGCCGCTTTGTCGGCACCTGGACGTGTCGCGATGAAGTGCCAAAAAGTACTATTTGCGGCTATTGCTCCAAACTTCGGGAGACAAGGCCTACATATTATGACTGCATCCATGAGCCTAGTGCATGAGGGCTGCGGGTCGGGACATTTCACGGTCGGTGGCGCCGACAATGACCTCCGTAATGCCCTCGCAATCGGCTCGGATGGGGTCCACCGGAGACAATCTCGGAGCCCTCTCCGTGGCATCACGAGCCGGTGTGAGCTTGAAGACCCGAGGTAAGTGCGGTTTGGGACAGCTCAGACCTGATACTGATGGGTCTGGGCCAGGAGACGACATAAGACAGGCGAGTGGTGAGCTGAGAGCAGG